GGTAAGCCGTGTGGAGCCAGGCCTTGGCGAATGCAAACTGACACGGTCTGGTCTCTGGCCGTGCTTGGTTAGAAAGGTGACCCACAAGGATCAAGGCTGGGACATGCCAGCATGGATGACAGCACCTGGTTTCGTGAGCTTGCAGGACATCTCTTCTGCGACTTTCAGGCCTTCGAGCTGCTCTACCCGCCCAGGCTTTAGCTGCCCCGGCACCTCTCCGGTCTCAGGTAGTCTCTCCTCCAACCTGCTTGGGCCTGTCAAGTAGTGCATCTCTGCGCGGAGCCTGTTTAAGGTGTCGGACATGATCTTCAAGGCTGGCATGCGTGCAGCTATGCTTGACAAAGCTCATTCCAAAAACTGGGCTGCAACTTCGCTTCGCAACATGCAGGCTGCTCCTGGTGGAATCTGAGCACCAGAGAGCCCAGCCTGGTTTTTGACGGACTGAACGCCGCAGCAAAGAGTCGACAGTTTGACTGCACCATGCCCACGGCTTGCCATTTCATCCTGAGCTGCCAGCCAGCTTCAGAGCCTCTTCGGCAAGAATTTTCTGTCTTTCCTTGCGATTTGAGCAGTTGATACGACTGGGCAAGTACAGCATGTGCTCCAGTACACGAGCTAGCCCAGAAAAAATCATAGCTCGCTAGTGAGATCCGAGGTAATGCATCGTGCCTGCATCCGACATAGCTCTGAAGCCAGTGCCTTCTGCTCACGCAGAACCTGGGCCGCATCGCAAGATCCGTATGCCTCCTTTTTGCAATTCTCGAAAGCATTTCATGCAAAGGGTCTGTGCAAGCCAAGAGTTTTGCTGTCAAAGAGTCTACCTCTTTTTGGCTTTGAGGACATCAAAGGCCATAGCCGTGCTGTTTTGCCGGCTGTAGACTGCACGTTGTACTGCTCTTGGCATATGGCTTCACCCGGAACAAGCCCTGAGCTCTCAGCGTTGGCCAACCGTGCAGACAAACTGGTGGCCTGGAAAGGGAAGGCTCACAGAGACGAGCACCGTGCCAGCTTGCCACTGGTCACACTACATCCCTTTGGCCAAGCATGCTGTAGTTGTTGGAACAGCTTGACGCAAGTACCAATGGTCTGCGCTGTTGCAGATTCGCTGGGCTAGTTTGAGGCCAGCACCTGTGAAGAAGCTGCGGGCAAAGATATCTGCAGGCGCTGGGGCCAACAATTTCATGTTAAAATGTGTCATCCGAGCTCCGTATGCTTGATGGACCCCATAGGGAGACTTGCATGATGCAAGACGTCATGACGTTCTGAGGTTGGCGGATGCAGCGTTGCGCGCACAGCCCAGCAGCCGAAAAAAACAAGCTGCTTGACGCAGCCGCACGAGAGCTGATAACTTGCCCCGTGCCTTGGCGCTCTGACCTGTGCCAGCGAAGGACGCGCGGATAGCAGTCGCCTGTTGGACAGGAAGTGGCAAATGCAACCGCTGTCGCCTTACAACTCAAAGACTTGGTGCGTCTGACGTGTTCTTGAGGCACTGGAACTGCTCTGTCCCCTCATGTTCACAAGCCATGACGCAAACATGCCCACGGCACAAGGAAGAAGCCCACAGCCATCCCTTGAGGCATGAACGCCTCACGGCCGCAAGTGTGGAAACAGCGCAAAGTATTACTCAACATTCCCAGAGCTCTCATGGGCATGGTGGGGTGGCAAGCGTGACTCACTGGCTGGGTTGCGCGCGGGGCCACCGTAACCCTGGGCAACTTTCTCCACCTGCAGACGATAGTAAAAATGTCTTGTTGCCACGGCTCTCACGCCGATGGCAATCTCGCAGAATCTGCAAAATGAGCCGAAGTCCAACTTCCACATGCTTGGGTGCTAGGGTCGCCGCGCGTCGCTTCAACCCAAGCAGAAACTTCAATCGATGCCTGCAGGAGTTAGATAGCTGTTTAAGTTTAAGATCTTTTCTTGCTGGGCTTGTGCATTGCCATTCGCTACCAGCTGCTGGGCTCTAAGGTTAGAGGTATGGGCCACTAGTGTGGGCCCTTAGCCCTGGGATCCTTTTCTACCTACTATATATCCTATTTGTACCCTTAAGGCTCACAAGCCGCGGGGCCCATCTTAGTGCCCATACTTCTAACCTTAGATGTGCTACAAGAACAGCAAACACTAAGCAAGTCAGTCTGACTGCTTGCCCTTCCTTTCCATATGCTCTGAAGGTAGTACCGAATGCCATTGCGTGCGCCAACTTTTGTGGTAGAGCTTTTGGAAGGTTGAAGATCCAGCTGCATGCTCCAGCATGGAGGGTGGTCCAGGTCAGAATCTAAGTGCGGGTGAGCTTGGTACGACAATGGCATCAGCCCGCTGTTGCGCCTCAATGATGGCTCTAATTCGGCGCTCCGCAGCACATGTTCCACCTGTGAGTTGGAGTAGCGTTGTGCTTTGAACAACCTGGACTTAATGCCGTCTATGAATGTTATGCAAGTAACGCGAAGAAGCGGCGGCAGTTAGTGCATGCGAGCAAGGGTAGCCTTGAAACGCATGAATACGTCGTATGGTTTGTTGCGAAACATAGCACAAGATCTAAGAATCCAAGCACTTCTGCTCTCCCTGAATACCGATACTAAGCTCAGTGTCATTGATCCTGGCAGTGTGCAAACGCAGGTTGCCTGCTTGGCTGTGAGGTACGTTGCCGAGCACCGCAATTGTTCTTCCTGGGCGAAGGCACGGAAATCTTGACATTCCTGCGGTTTCTTCTCCTGGCAGCATTTCAGCATGCCCGGGGCCGAAGCCAACGTGCGCGAAAGCACTCCAGGCCGCTCAACCTGAGTGGGGGACACCCTTTGTGAAACCTGAAGATTTAGAACGGAAACACATGAGAGCGACGACTTTAATTTGTGGCATTTTGAACCTGTGGGCGCGCATCTCCTTTTGCCTCATATTTGATCTTGGGGCTTACAGTGACTAATTTCAATTAAATCAAAAGACAGAGGGAAGTGCTCTCGAACTTGTGACAAACAACACTGAACCACTGCTACACGTCTCGTGAAGAAGGGGATAGAAGGGGCACTCTGCAAACCGAGGCTGTCACAGCCTCGTAAAGGCGAGACGCACAGGGAGCAACCTGACACATCAAACGGGCCACTCTTTGTGGGCATGCCACTTTCTTCAGCAGTCCTGAAAGTCAGCAGGAACTCAGACTTTGGACGGGGCGTTCTCCAGTGTTGCTGACCAGTAAAAATGGCGGCAAAAGCCCTAATCACAGCTTGGCAAACCAGAGTGGCACGACCTCACAACAGAGCAGACATCTAGGAGGCACGGTAGCGGCGTCCAATTAAGTTAGCGCTAGTTGAGTGCCAAGACTAGCCTTTTGCTGGTGTGTGCAGACGCTGTCCGGCGTCAAGGCCTATACAGGAATCCAAGGCCCTAGTGACTGAGGAGATTGCAAGGCTATATTGCCTGCACCTTGCGAGAAGATCCCTCAAGGTACTTGACACGGAGCTTAAGTGGCAAAACTGAAGGAATGAAGCCCTTCTTGCTTGCAGTTGAAATGCCCGGAACCTGTGAGAACAACGTTGAACGCACATGTAGTATAAGAGTTTCGCAGATTGCTCAAGACATGTGTGCCTCCTCCAGGTCACGACGATACTTTTGAGACGGTGGAAGCTCGTTTGACTTGGAGGGGTCCGGCCTGGGCTTTGAAGGAAAGTTCAGTGAGCGAAATCATTTACCCTAATTCCTCTTCTGGTATACAATAGCTAAAATAATGTGAGCTGGAGGACCTTCCTCAGGCACACGGACCAAAAAACGCAATCACTTTGAGTTCTAGTCTACAAGGAAGTTCGAGTTTGAAGCTATGCACCCCGGCGCAGAGGCTGCACGAGTGAGTTGTGCATGCAAGGCACTGCCCAACTGACAGCAGCACATGTCGTTTGAAATGGTTCAGTTTAAGGTTGTTGTTACTCAAATAGCAGATGCAACAGCCAGGCTGCCCGTGTCAACATCAGTTCATGAATCTTAGTGGGACATGATAGTGACATCTCCTCCCATCTGCAGATGTTGCTGATGACAGTAGAGATTCCCTTTTCTTCTCGTTTCGCAGAAGAAGCGTGGAGTCTCAAGCATGCTGTCTGGCTCCACCAATTGTACTGGCATCTGTACAACTTTTGTAAATAGTTCGTGACGCGATCCTGCCTGCAACCTGCAAGGCCCGAGACAACACGTGAGCTCTTTCGCGCTCAATGGTTCCTCAAAGCCTTGGACCTGCAAGCAAGCTGCCGTCCAAAACAACAAGAGCTGAGAAAGCTTGCGGCGTCCTGCTCTTCGGCTTTTGCGGTTGTGGATAATTATTTGCCAACTCCATCTAAAAGATGCTAAGTTAGGCCCCACCATAGGCAACTTGACATTCACGCCGTCCTATGTCTTCTTATCTAGGAAACGCCTCACCAAGCGACGCATCCCTCATAGAGGGTTCCCACATGCTTTCTGCCTATCCTGTGAGGTGGATGTACATGCAATCCACACTAAGGCCTTTAAAGCTGTGCCGGCGCTGCTCATTTACAGGCCCATGCCTAAGCATGTACATCTCCCTGCACAATATTACTAAAATCAATCGGATATCAGCCACTGGCTTGACATGCAGTGGATGGCAGCAAGACTTAGCTAAAGGAACTGCAGCTGCGGCAGTGATTGCCTTTTCAAGTGTGCAGGGCTAAGCACACATTGCCCATCCTCAAGCTGCCACTCCTGAGGTAGCATGACTTGTGCAACGCTTGTCCTGCACATTGGCAGGCATCTTTTTTCCTCCCGCTTGGCTGTGACGCATGCATTGGCAGGCATCAGTCTTGTTGGCTTTCTTGTTTTGCTTTTCATTCTAGGGAACAACACACCCTGTATCGGTGTCAGTAGTATACTATTCTATTACTTTAACCAAGGGTCCATGGCTTTACGCAGAAACTATTCAGCAAGTGTCAAGGCGCGCGGGGCGGCCACCGTGGCATTGCCACGGCATGGCCACGGCATGGCCACAGTCAAATTTGCACATGCACTCAAACAATTTGATCGAGTACTTGGAGAAGGATGTCTCTTGATGAAACTATGCCGACAATGCGTGCGATCTCATCCTTAGTTGGCCAGAAATGCCAGAAGCTACGCGTAGGCCAAGCCCAACCTGGAGGCAAACGGCAGGAGTTTTGATGGATATCAGTGGAGCCAAGGATCGGAGGCCAGGAAAATCCGCTGAAGCTTTGAGGCAATCAAACGCAGGGCCAGGGTGTGGAGCCTGATGCAATCACAGTTAAGTTGCTCCCAGCTTTGGGACGAACTTTGTGGACGTTGGTTGTTCTTCCACTTGCTCATTGCAAGCCGCTTCAAATCTTAGCTTTGCTCGGCCAAGGCTCGATGCTCCCTCGTGAACAGAAACCACCTCAGCACCACTCATATCCTGCGTGCCAGATTTCAACTCTGAACGCATGCACCGTGCCAGGGCCAGCGACGTTGAAGCGGCGCAGCCGCTGCAGCCGGAGGATCTGATCCAAACTGTGTGACTCGGCCTCCGCACTTGGATGTCCAAGTCCAACGCATGACTCCAGCACCCTTCTAAGTGCCTCTGTGCGCCACGTGAGGAAGTCACAAACGGACCTTGGTAAATGTTTCTTTGAAGTCTGGATATGCCAGCGGTTGACCATGGTAGCTACTGGCGGGCTTGCACCAGCTGGAGGCTTTACTTTTGCAATGCGCTTCTCTCGAACACCATACCACTTGCAAGCAACTCGCTGGAGCTACTGGACCACTGGGCGCGAATTTAGCTGCAGACATGCCCAAGGCATCGAACCTGCCGGAGCCTCGGCGACGCGGCTTCTTAGCAGCTTGAGCGAAAAAGGACCCAGGAAGCACACATACTTGGCGATTGTTCCGCTCAAACTTTGGGCACGAACTGACCAGCGACCGGCCCTCCGCAAAACTGGCAGTCGAGTGAGCACGTACCAGGGCCCCGGCAAATGATCCACTTCCTTTCGGGCAACGGTGCTGCAAGACAGTTGAGGTTGTCATCCACTGATACTCCATAGCTCTGAGTCCGTCGATCAACAACCAGTGGTCCTAAAAACGACGCTGCACATGTTGTGTACTTCTGCCAAGGTGCAAGTCTGCCACAGATACTACCTCCAGCCAGAGCCGCGTGGATTGTAAACGGCAAGACCCGCAAAGTTGGCGATGAGAGTCCATAAGCTTAGTGACTTAGTGGCCTTCTTCGTCAGCCTCCCTCCTTTCAACAATTGGCGGCTCTGCTTTGCAGTACAAGTTGCGTTGCTGGCAACGACGCCGCCCAAATCACCAGAAAGTTCCCGCGAGGTTGTTGGACAAATGGTCAGATCTGACATCAAGCTGGCTTGGCAGCAAAACATCTTGAGTCAATAAATAGGCATTCTTAGTTGCAAGATTGCTCTTGCAAAGAGCCGGCATCATGCAAAGGCAAACTTGCTCAAAGGTCGGGCTTGACTGGTTTGTTCTGCTTTTGAATGGCAGGTGGTACTTGACCCTGCACCTGGTCCCGGAAGGGAATGCACGCAAGGATCAGTGCCACTTCCCATTCATTCCCTGCATGGAGGGGCAAGCGGGCCTGCCACCTTCATGTTCTGCAAAGCATGGAGCAAAGGTTCATCTTGCTGAACAGACACCTCTCAGGTGCTAGGCTGCAGCATACAGACCAACCCCGAGTTGCCGGGCCTGCAGGATGGTACTTCTGCGATCGAAGACCTGCAGCAAGATTTCCATTGGTTACGAGTTTTCTCCATCCGCGATGGTGACAATCAATGCATGATCAAGCATTGTCTGGTGGCACAGTTCATTGCTACTTGTAAGCGATTGACAAGTCAATCTTACAAGGTGCTCCCGTCAAGCACTTTTCGGAATGCTCAGGGCGATAGGCGTCATCAAGCGATGTGCTTTTGCTGGCATCGATTTGACTGCGCCAGTCGCCGGCCTTTGCAGATAGTGACTTCAAGACAGCCGTGGGCCCCGTGTATCGCAAAGCCAGATTGAGGAAATCTGGCGCAGCGAAGATCCCGACCTTGGCATCGTGCGGGCACAGAGTTTTAGATGCCCTTGAAGCCTTGCCATGGACAGCGCTAGTTCACACTCTTGGCTGCAGCATCCCCAAACGCCTGCTGAGGCAGCCAAGGCATTGGCCAACTTGCCTGACTGACACAGGACAAGCTTTGATAGGGAGGTCCATTCTCTGGGTGTATACGCTCGCTTGGTAGAGACAGCACAGGTCATGAGCCTTCTGCATCCACCAACGGCACTCGCCGCAGGGTCCCCTGCGATGAGCTGCCGCGTGGCCTTCGACCTAGCACAGACAAAGCTACATGCGCTACCTGCAATCTTGGGAGAGCATGTGGCCTGCCATCAGCTTGAAAACCTCTCGAACTGGCGTGTCAATGGTCGCTGGCACGAAAGAGCCTCGCAGCACACACCCACGCAGAGCAAATATTGCAGCTCAAGCTATTTGAGGTGCTTTTCTCATCAAAGCCACGGATTGCGACACGTTTGCCCCAAGCCCGCAACAGCACTCGAAGGAAAAACAACAAAAAACACGTGCGTGGATGATCCCAGCTGCAGTTGCCGCTGCAGTTGGCCAAGCTTCCGACACTTGCCTGGCAAAGCACCGAATTGTCGACTGACGGCTTTACAAGGCAGCTGCTTGAATGGACAAGGTGCTACAGTACCGCCTCTGTATATCTGCCTAGAACCAGTGCTAAGCCTGCACATGGCCGGACGATAAGAACACCTTTGCTACAACTCTTGCGAATCCAATGTCCTCAATTTAGCACATCTAGCAATTTTTGCCCGAACACCATGGGTGCCGCTGTGCGGTATCCAAGCCAAGCCACCATGACACGCAGTTCTGGACAAGCTTGCAATTGTATGCAATTGTAAAAGCTTCAACCAACCAACACCTCCCCTTTTGCCTCACAAAGGAGCTCCAGAGTGCGTGCGGCCTGGTCTGCTGAGCGCGCCGTCTGCGGGGCACAGGGAAACTTGATGTCTAAATCCAAGAGCCCTGATGGACTCCCCCCAAAAACTGTCCAGCTTTCAGGAGCCAACATGGTTCATGCAGCAAATTGAAAGGAGATAGTGCAAACACCCGCTCAGGTCTTGGCAGTGGCAGATTTTCTAGAACCACTTACCCCATGTGCTTGACATTTTCCCACTGCATGCTTCCATCTGATCCGTACTTAGCCATGGCATGGATATGGCGCCTCCAATAGCTTGTGGTTGATGTCGATGTAGTCAAAGAATCTGAGCCAGACTGCTGTCAGTACTTGCTATAACCCCGCCTGACAATTTCGGGGATTCAAGAGGTCCCATGCCACCATGCAAATACTGCCGGCAGAAGTTGATGAACCACTCCGCCGCTCTTTCCAAACATGACGCAGCTGCGGCACTTGTGCGTGCCATCTGCATATCGCACCAAGCTCCACCTTGCGTTGGCGCACTTCGTGCGACAAAGAGCGCATCAGCAAGTAAAACACTTGGTCGTGCTAATGGGCGTGCGGCGTAGGCTGCTAATGAGGCAGCGAAATTCAAACCAGAGGCGAGCCTGTGGTGCGTGCGCGCCATTTCTGCCACAGCGTCTCTCACCTGCACCAACACAAGCCACAGAGAGAAGCTTGTAGTTCAAGGGGGGCGGCTTGCGATGCAAGCTGCAACCTTGGTGTGCTCATCGAAAGTTTGAGTGCTCCAAAAGCTGGAGCTAGTCCTCTTCCTTGGCTCTCTGTATAGCTGGCATGGCACCGGCACCCCGACGGCATGCCGGCTTACAGACGCGAGCAGGTAAAGCAGCTGTCAACCCCTCGCTGCCCCAGATCAAGAAAAAATCATCGTGCAAACCAAGACTCAGCCGCACTATGTACGATGAGATAGGTTTGGATGGGTTCCACTGCTCCTTCCTCATTTTGCAGAAGACCAGTTCGAGCAAAATCGAATCGGGCTCCGAATTGCAACAGTCAAAAAGAGCAGCAGCAAGGGGCATGGCAATGACAGCAGGACATGATTGACAAGCAGAGATGGAGCGTGATTCAGGCAACGCGGCTCGCGAAGACAAACAGTGTAGACGTGCCACGGATTCAGCGGTGAAAGATCTTCTGGTTCAGTCGCCGTAGCATCTTCGAATACATCCTCCGATGGTGCAAGTGCAAGCCATGCCAAATTCCATACACTTCGTTGACCTGTCGAGTTGTCTCAGGAATCAAATCTGCCCTGCCTCAATTGGAGGTAGGAGCACTGCGAGGAACTCGCAGTAGCTCAGGGAATCCTCTTAGCAAGTAGCACAACAGGATTGGTGAATATTGGTGATCATGGTAGTCATGGTAGGCTTTCTGGTGCGCCTGCTCTCCGCACACTGCACGCCAAAGTCTCCGGATGGAGTCGTGTGGGCAAGCAGCTGCTGTCATGAACCGATCCTCCTCCTCTCTCCTCAGCCAAAGCTGTGATTTCTCCACTTGAAGTCAATCTCTCGTCAGCACATGCGGGTGCAGAGCCGGCAGTCAGCCTCCGCAGCATTTGTGACATGATATATCATGTTACACTCGCTGCGAAGCCAAGCTCTGCACTACCTTTTGAGAGAACTTGCAGGACAACCGCCAGGATTGCTGAAACCAGTATGCACCCAGCCAGGCTTGAGGCCCGGACACGTTCTTCAACGAGCTAGCCCAGTAGGATCGCCTCAGCAAGTGATGGTTAAACCAAAAGCAGGCGATGACCTGACTGAAAGACCACATTCTCAGCAATCTTTCGCAGCGGAGTTTCCACGGAAGGCATGGGTAGTGGAACTTGGTAAGCCCTACGTTCGGTGACAAGAATCTCAAAACGCAGCTTGTGCAGATATCGCACGGCTTGAACTTAGCCGTAGCTATCTGTGGCCTCATGTGTTCGCCCTTGTCCATCCCATTCCGAGGTCATGACGTGGGAGAATCCTGTGACTTCTTCTGGATGACTTCCAGGAACGTCTGGAATTTCAAGGATCCATTGAGGCCATGGGCGTCGAACATCTTGAACCTGAGCTCATGATGAGCAGCCACACGTTAGGGCCAAGCACTCCATTTTCGCGGGGTGTCTGCCAACGCGCACCTACGAAACCTTACTTGCCATCGGGCGTTGAATCACGTTGAATTGCTCAGGTGCCAACGTGTCCCGAAGGGCCATGAACTCCTGCAACAAAGCAGAAAAGCTTTTTGTAGCAATGCATGCTGGAGGAGATCAAGAAGCCGGGCACTGTTCGGATAAAAGCACTGCACTAAATTACTATGGCCATGAGCCGAAGTATAGGACAGCAGTGTCAGGAGAAGGGTGAAACATGCATGCTTGCGAACAACTGCAGCGCCAAATCTGCCTCAGCAGCTTGTACCAAAGCTGCATGTTGCAAGCACTAGACTTCCCAGCACGGGTCATGCGCAAGCGTCCCAAATCACCCTCCAAGTTTGCGCCTCCCAGGGCAGATACGTAGGCGAACGTGCCACAGCCAGGAGCCATGCGCGCGCAGCGCGAGAAGCTGCTGAATGTGCACGGAACCTCAGCACAAACAGAGCTTCTGCCTGGCAACTGTGTATCCGTGCTCCGCAGAAATCCAAAAATTGTGCGCACGAAGCAGTGCAAGTTGTGGCTACCCTACGCGCGTCGGTCCAGGCTGTCTGGTTGGTGCTGAGGAGGATGGGATAACTACTGCTAAACTGTTAAACTGCTAAACGTTGAGAGCGGAAAACGGACCATCATCGGTTTTCTGTTGTCCCCAGTTTACGCTTCTTGAAATGGCCATGGGGCCACGCTTGGCTTTGACCGCTGTATTGTACTTTGGCTCTCTAGCAGCTCGTCTAGGCTGTGGCGCTGCTCCTCTTTCATTTCGTTCTTGTTTAGCACGTTTTTGCTTCTCTCTGCAAGGTCAATGGCGGTAGGAGTCATTAGTTGGTTATGGTCCCCCTTCTTCTACACAGACTACAAGCAGAATGAAGCCGACACCAGGAAGTTGACAGTACCAAGTGGCAACTTAGAAGAAACACGATCAAGACAGAGGGCCAGCGGCCAGCTCAAGCAGCTCAACAAAAGACCAAAGGCAAGAAGGGAAGCATGTTATAGAAAGAAGAGCCGGGCAGAAAGATGTGTAAAGGTAAACAGGAAAATTGGGATTAAGCTCCGCGTATCCTCTTTGGCAGAAAGCCTGATGACTTCCGAGCTCCCATGACTTCTTAGTGCGATTCTCTTTTTGAGCCGGTGTCCGTACTCCCAGGCATTTTGCCTTCATGTCGTGCCTTGGGTTTGGAACTTTGCTTCGGTCTGCTCACAGGCTTGGCTTGGCCTCTTGCTCGTCCTTGTTCCCCTGCAGCTTGAATTTTGTTGTTCCTGTCTCTGAGTTGTCGACTTCCCTTCCTGAAGACATTTCACACCCTCTCCCCTCCAAGTATGAGTTTCGCTGGCGATCCCCAGCCCGAGGTTGTCAACTCCATGCAAAGCCCTGCGCCGCTACGCAGCTTTCAGCAGTGAATGACCTTCCCGAGTAGCATATTCTCGGATTGCGCTGCACTTTCCCTTATCGCCCTCTACACTAGGCAAAGGACATGAGTGGCCTGAGCACGACTATGCACGACTGTATGGCAGGGGCTATCCCCCAGCACACCAAACCCACAGAGAAAAACACAACACTAGCAAAGTGGGAAATCAACGCAGCTCCTGACAGTCTGAAGCCAAATCTACTCCTCTCCTTGCAAGTGTTCTTACTCATACCCGAGCAGGCTTTGAAACATTAGGCAATGCGAGCTTTTTGCACAGTGGGAATTTGCCAATTTCATAGTTCTATAACATATAGCCGGAGCTAGTAATTGTTTCAGGCTGCATTTTCAAGAGTGCGCTGCTTGCAGTTGGAAGGCCGGTCCAGGATTGTCCGGACAGGCAGAGCCCGTGGCGGATCTTTCAACCTCCAGAGTGTGAGCACGGTGTCGGCCAAGGAAACTGTATGCTGTATGTGTGCAGTGTCTGTGCCAGCAACTTGTCTTACATGGTGTAAGTGAAGCACTGGAATTAGGAAAGTCACAGCGAGATGTACCATGTGAGACTGGTGCGAGATGCTTCGAGGGTCTAGCAAGTAGGCAGCTCGTGCAATTCTGGGTTGCAAACCCTTGGCTACGAACTCTGCATTGCCGGCGGCACCTATAAGACTCTTCAGGCTGTGCGCCTGTCCCGTACAGTCGCCAAGTATGGGTCTTCCAGGCACTCGGCTGCAGAAGGCCTCGCTGGGAATTCCACAAAAATCCAAGATGTGCAGGCTTTTTGGCTCCTGATTTGCTGCCCTGCCGGGCTATCATAGAGAGAAGCACTTTACCCTTATCATCAGTTGAGTTGGCAGCGTTCAGGCGCCTTGTCAGCGGATCTCGGTGTAACATCCGTCGCAGCAAGTTGGCGGCATCTTTCGGCAAGGGCTCCAACATCTTTTCCACCGTCTCCTGCAGCGCTCCCCAGGCAGAAAGCGTGCCAACACTACTGGTACTGAAAGATGAGATGAAGAACGGCTCTGAGTTAAAGTGTGCCGCACCATGGAGTACGCGGGCATGCCTGCAACCGGCAGTCCTCTGTGACCTCCTTGATCTCTCTCAACACTACTTCTTCCTCAGCATGAAGTGCTTGCTGATTTGACCGAAATCAATTTTTCAAAGCCCGTTCAGCTTTCAATGTCTGCATGCAGGTGCATTATCCGTGCAAGAGCTGTTGCAATGACTCTGTCCAGTTTGCATGTCCTGACTACGAGTCAGTGCCCCGACCAAGACACCATGCCTCACTTCAAACAGGGCAGTCCCAGAGTGTTGACGAGCAGGCGTCGCCAAATTCACTGAGCATCGCTTTCAAGCAAACAATCTCACCAAGCCTGATTACGGCTTGTTATCCTTGTTCAGGCCTGATTTTGCCCGAAAACTCGCTGGAGGTTTCCTAAGAGCGGCTAGTCCTCCATTCCTAAAAAGATTGCTTATGATGATGTGGGCCTCTAGGAACTTACTCTTTGGAAAGGGATTCTGACAAATGCTTGGCATGAGCTCTCTTTGCGGAGAGCGAGCTTGAGCGTCTCATGATGCAGCTGAAGCAGCTGTATACCCGTCGCACTGCCCTGCATCTCGGTGGAATGCAGGCTCGCCAGTCAAAAGCTCCAGGAACACGACGCCCAAAGACCAAATGTCACACTTGTCCTGGGGCCATTTTGCAAGCTGCAATTGGCTCGTCTGAGTCGCACACAAAGGATGCGACAAAAAGCCGACTCTGCCTTCTGGCTCACCAGTATCCATTCTTGGATTCTGTTCACAAGGAAGCAGGACGGAACCTTGTTCTGAACCTACCTATTCAGGAGTCTCCAGTCTCTCCAGAAACTCCTGGCTTCTGCATCTCTCCAAGTACTTCAACACTGCCTTCAGTGAAGCGGATCTAATCATCCAGCCACGCTGCAGTGTATGCGTTGTCGGTGCTAAGCCCAGCAAGGACAACTTCCTCATGCAGCGTCTCACAACAGAAGTGACGTTGATTTTCAAAGTGCTGCAGGAGGCAGTCGCAAAACTGCATTGACCAATCCCACCAGAAAGCCACGAAACTTTGAGGCTAGTCCTGACAGTATGGTGAAGCATTATGCCATTGCGCACATGGGCGTTGGTTTGAAAATGTTGCAGTCTTATGAAAAACATGACATCATCGATTGTAAGGGCCAATGCCTTTTGAACCAGAAGACAGGCTACCAAATGTCTACGCAAACAGAAAGGTCATTCTCGTATATCGTTCGGCCACCAGAATATTGCTCGGAAGAGACGCAAAATGCGGCAAGCTTTTGTGTACGTGCAGACTTCGCCAGGTGTCTGGGGCGAGGTAGCCGAGGGTTCCCATGCAGCCCTGCAAGCAGCCTGACAAGAAAACTATTGCCAGCAACATGATTGGGAGAGATTGCTGTTAGATGTTGTTCAACAGGCAGGCATGTCGCCGGCAATTTTTGATTCCATTTGAGAAGTGTAGCTGCAGCCTCGATCCTGCACCTTCAACAAACCCTTCCGTATGACAACTCCTTGAGGTTGCTGTGCGGATGCATCTTGGTATCTCAGCCTTCGTTTCCCAGGAATCCCTTGACGCTGAAGCCGAAGTCAATAAGCTTGATGGTAGCGCCGTCAGCCTGCAATGGGGCGTTTCGGTGCGCTAGACAAAGAGTTCGAGAAGTCCTTTGCCTCGTACACCCAGTTTCGTGGCTTTATGTCGCGGTGCACGATCCCAGCCCTGTGGATGTAGTTTACAGCCAGCAGCATTGGCACCTCGGTCAAACCGAATGGGCCACTTGATGCACGAAGCCCCTCGACGTGTCGATAATACATTCACAATTTTACAGCATGGAGCTGGAACATGCAGCACCTTTTCGGCCTTCTAAAGCTGCATGCCACATCGCCACACAGCAACTCAACTGCAAACCAAGCTACTGCAATCTCCTGAAACCTAGGCTCTTGAGCCGAGGTCTGAGGCTGGGTCGTATCGCTTACGCAACGATGCGCTTGGCACGCTGAGGCCAAGGGGCTGGGACTCGCTGAAGGCCCCTTGAGTTCGGATCGCATGCTCCAAAGTGCCTGTTTGTGCAGCAATGTATGCACCCATTGATGTGAACATGCAACCCAAACAAGCAGCGGCGTTCCACTTGTGAATCTTTGCTGCTCCACAGCGCATCTCACTGCTACAGCCCGCCTCCAGAGCAAAACTGCATCACGAGGCTGACCTGCAAAAGTTCTTTGTCGCGGCCAGATAAAGAAAGTTCTTCACCAAAATGACAAAAAGGTTGCTGTGGCTTTTCTGATCCGCATGGAGGCTTTCACAGAAGGTCTGGAGCTACTGCTGAAGCCGACTGCTTCTGAGCGCCTGCTCCTCATCTTCGTAGACGTCAAAAAGACGCGCGATATGGGGATGTTCCAAGGAGAGATAAATCACAGCCTCCTTGCATGCAAGCTTAACATGTATCGGATCTCAGTATGCGCTCCTCAGGCGTATGCTGCGTCATTTGGCTGAGAAGTCAAGCTGCGTTCTTCAGCTTGTCCAACTTTTCTGGGCTCATCCTCGGGATGAGAAAATTGCACAAACTCAAGCAGTGAGAAGTGACTGACACGATCTGACACGCCCCTGGTCGCCGACCAGGCCGTGTGATGCATGAAAAGCATGAGGGCAACAGCTGGACGACAATCATGCAGGATGAAGGAGGGTGGACGGAGGGCAACAGCATCACTTTCGATCACGATAGCGGCCGCCATCTTCACTGGCAGCCATACAACCAGTGGCGCTCATTACCAACCGGAGCGGCGACAGCAGTAGCTGCAGCGAGGGCAACGATAAAAGAAACTAAATCTCAATGTGCCCTGGATTCAAGACCACCTTCCTCCAGAGCCTGCAGCGGGAACTGGCGCATGTTTCATTCTCACTAACACTGTGAACAAAGATGGACCTTCTGTGTTATGCGCAACACGCATGAAGAACGTTCGTTGGATGTCAGGCTGTGCTTACAGAAGTATGCCAGACAATCCGCTGGATGCAGGGATTGAAAGCTTGAAGGCGGCTACATGAAATCTATTCAAATAGTCGTGGCGCAGCCAAGCGACCGCCGGAGGTCAAAGCTCTTGACGCAGCGCTCAAAGGTTTCCTTGTTTTGCTGCACGGCGGCGCGTTCTCTCCTCCTGCAAGGGAAGGCGTGGTACAGTAGGGAACCTCTTCTTCTTGTGATAATCAGCCTTAGCCCAGATTGGCAGCGCACTCAGAGTCACCTCAAACTGCCCAAGTTGAGTTCTGGTAGCAGTCCTGCATAGCAGAACATCTCCGCTAAAGCCGCTGCCGATGACAGTTGGCCTCACTCACCGCAAGGCCGAAGTTGAACGTTCTGCTGGCATCGCTTTTTCAGAAAACCCACTGGTAATGCAAACCCCCACTGACACTGGCACGTTGATGAACTTCTTTCAAGGCTTATCACGTGCCGTATCACGTGCAGGTAGGTTTAGCATATGGGGCCGAGCAGCGGATGCGACGTGTACCTTATGCTGGCAAGAACGATAAAGGCACACTCAACGAAGATATAGCAAGTCATAGCAAACAGCTGTGGTTGACAGGAATGGCTGATTAACGTGCCCATGCTTGGCCCTATTTCTCCATCTTTCCATTTCCATCTGCAGCAAGTTGCTCGTAGTCCTCCAAGAACTTTTTGCCACGATGGTAGAGGCAAGCTAACAGCTCCATCTTCAACGCCTCAGCTGCTATCTTGAGCCCTTCTTCAGTTTGAGTTCAGCAAGAAGAACAAAATGCAGTAAATGCACGGCGTCATGTTTCACATCGCTGCGTGTATGTGTACGCAGTTTCTCTTCACGCCGGGCCCGTCGTGCATGCACTGAATCAGGACATGTTTTCGTGCCATGTTGAATGCCTACATGCTCTCTTACTCCTTGTCAGCTTCCCTAAGTGATCACATGCGAAAGTGGAGCAGCAAACCACCAGCTTGCACCCGCTTGTGAATGCTTGCGAATGTGTTGGGTGCCCTACAGATGGTCCATGAATGTCAATGATTATAGCCAAGCAGCTCGCTGGTTGAGTTCATTGTGCACCTCCTGCCAACAGAATGCACTTGACTTCGGAAGCTGCAATGTTCATTGAAAGGCGTTCTGAAGCTTTGCAGAAAAATTGCGTCCTCTGAAATCAAGGACAGCTTTCTCGGGCGCATCGTCTGTAAGCTCGTTCGGACGGAACTGGCAGGGCAAAAAGGCATCAAGCCTAGACCCAGGGCACTATGACAGGAGATGGCATACTCTGTCCAGAATATGGCAAGACTGAATTCTTACATGAGCCAGTCCTTCCAGTGATTGAATAATGCACCCGCAACAGTGGACCACCCTCTCAGAAATGCTGTCAGATGTGGCCGTGATGCGCAGCCCACCCGTCCCGGTGCCTGGCTGTGTTCTCGTCCTCGGGTTTGATGTCGTATTGCACGGTCATCCGCTTCCTGGAATGCAGCCCTCACTTCCAAAGGTAAGCCCTTAGGGACAGCCCCTTGCCAGCCGCACATGTCTTGCCAGGCAGCTGATGGATGATGCTATCCAACCGCGTTCCGCTGGTGGGCTTGACCAACGACCTAGTACGACAACGCTTAAGCCCATGCGGCGCACGCCTTTCCGAACAGGATTTCCAAGAGCAGGCCTTGGCATTCGCCCGACGTGTCCAGCCCACTTCTGGGCGAACTCAACATCGCCCAGGCGCTTGTAGCGAAGCGCAAGACGCACCAGCTGACAGGCCAAGCCAAATGGGCCAATGAGGCTCAAGGCTAAAGCAGCTCTTCGAAGCTTGCTGGCCATACCCGTGCCTGCAAGCGGAAGCCGTGGTTCGAAAGAATGGTCCCTCGCCGACACTGTATTGCTTCGACCTCACTGGCAAGCACTTTTCGCAACCAGGTGGAAAACAAGTCGTGAATTTCAAATTGCGTCAAGTCTCAGCGTCCATGAGGGTCATGCCCTGAAGAAAGCTTACGCAGGCTTTCGCAAGCCCAACGTCATGAGAGAATATGACGAAATTTGTGCAAAAGAGTTACATGAAATGCGTCATGAGCTGGCAACACCGAAATGCTTTGGCATCAGGCCTCGTGCACCACAAGCCAGCACACGCACATACATGCCTCAGCTTCATCTGTTTGGCAAGGATGGAAAAGGTTCACAAAGCCAATCCATGGATTGCCCAAACCCATCATAAGCCGACCCTCGAAGTGCTGAGGTGGCTGGTTGCTGCAAGGGCGCTTTCAAATCACCATACGGCGCCCAGCCTTGCCTACAGTATGGCACCTTTACGCACAATTCCCTGAAACCCTCAAATCCTTGCACAACTAATTGGGCCCAATTTTGCAAAGTTGCGGATCGATTGTGACCTGCCTTGCAGTTGACAAGAACACGCTGGCCATAAGCTTTGCACCGTTGGAGAAAAGCCTCGCACGGTGGCCAGCCTTGAAGCATCAGACATGGGTGTGTCGCGCTCCTCTCTCCCTAATGGTGCTTGTTTACTGCGCAGTCAGGAAGCACCAGCGAGAGGATTTGACGATGACATGACCTAACCCGTCTAACCCGCTGCTCAACTCATCCAAGCAACACTTCTCAACAATGTTGAAGAAGAGCCGATCCTTGGCACTGATCTATCGAAAGTCTCTCGGGGAAATGGCATGCTTATAAGAAAGCTCCGCAAACAACTCCCAGCTGCCTCGGAGTCAACCTCCAGGAACTCCACGTCATGGGAGGAATACAATGAGGTAAAATCCGACACCTGCAGCGTTTCGGTGGATTGTTCCCCGAGAATAGACGTCCAGTCCAAGAAAACTGAAGTCAGCAAGGCAACAAAATGTTCTTTCTTTGGGCTCTGGCAAATGCTATGGTAAATGACTGGCTGCAAAGGCAAATACTAGCTAGCAGCAACAACATCAAATTGCCTCGGGCAGCCGTGAGCTCAGTTCCCACCAGTTGATCAAGTTCAGGACCTGGACACGCTCAGTCCGCTTAGTGAGTTCTGAGAGACATAAATCGAGACAAAGCGGCAGCTCGAATGTTCTGCTGCTGCAGGAGCTCGAAATTGGTTGCCTACGCAATGCGAATCTGTCTGAATCGACTGGCTCAGAATATGCCAGCATCTTGTGCTCGTTTTGGGACAGCAGTTTTGGACTCACGCGCCCTCACCTACTTTTTGCGGGTGGCTCAGCCGTACAATGTGAGCCTGCATTTCGGTTGTTAACTTTTTGCGGGAAGCTTTGTATAGGTGAGGAATAAGGTGCATTACATTTCGGCGTCATCCTCCAAGCCTCCGCGTATTCAGCACAAGCTGGGCAATAGGCAGATTGTGCCAGACCAGAAAAACATGAAATCTCAAGACGCTGATGCCGCTGAGAGCGACTGCCCAGTTGTTGAACTGTTAGCAGTTTCATGGTCAAATGTGCAAGTCAGCAATTCCACAAATGCATGACTCGTGCAAAACCTGCCTCCTTCAAGTCTCCTAGGAACATCCAGTCCAGAATCCTTGGAGTGTCTTCAGTATTCAGGATGCGACTGGCATGTTAGCGGCATACTCTTCTGCAGGAAGGCAGGCTATATGCTTATCTGTCAATTGCCACATCAGTGCCAGCATGATTTTCAGAACCCCAGTCTTGCCAAATGGGTTGAATCCTTTCACCGCTAAAAATCGCTTCCTGGTGCTGACCGCTAACCCTGCCACATGAAAGAGTTGCCAGGCATCTGCGCCGGTTGCTCACCAGGCTTCCAGTATTTCCACGATACCTGCGCGCTGATTCCCCAAGCCAGGAGACAACAACGGAGGATCTTGTTGGCTTCGTTGTGTTCAGACGAGTCGAGAGTCTGTTCTGCAACATGCCTTCGGCATCTAAATATCTACAATTACATCAAGTCCAAAGCAAAGCCTCGTGCGATTCAATGCGCTCTTTGCAGTCAAGCAGCCGTGTCCAGCACGGTGGCGAGGCGATCGAGGCCAACTTGCTCCTGGCAACGCTGTATGAGCACTTGTCAACTTGTCAACTTCTGCGACTGTATGCGCGCGCCCGGCCGAAAGCCATATTTGACGGTTCTGCTTGCCAAGCCTCCTCTGCAGGAGCCAAGAGGCCCTCGTCCTCACGCCTGAGGCAAAGGCGGCAAAGGATCCTGAGGTAGGCGGAATTCAGGATGATCAAAACAAGAAACATGCTTCTGCCGCATCAGCTGCTTGGGGGTCGAATTGAAAAACTCCGTTTGTGGTCATAGCAGAGAATGAACAGAGCTGAGCTCCAGGCTCCGCTCTTGCACCCTGCGCGTACTCCTGCACTTTGGCCTTCCGCGACCACTGAGGCAACGCAAGCACATCCCGCTCGTCAGTCAAACCCTCCAAGAAAAAAATCTCTCAAAGCTACGCGCTGGACATGATTCTAGTACCTGGACTGAGTGAGCGGAGGCCTGGCAGCCTTGGCATATCTCCACCTGATGCGGCGTTCTTGGAAAAGGCTTCCCAACAAGCAGAACTGGATATCTTGCATGCGGTTCAAAGTTAATGTGAACAGCTAACATATCCCAAGCCTTCTGAATCACTCTAGTTCCAGTATGCCAGCTGTTGCCCCGAATCGCGGACCATGACTCGACCATGTGTCCAAAACCTGTAGTCTTACCGGCATACGCCCGCCTTTGGGCTTTTGGCGCTTGGTGAAGCGCTGGGGACCGAAGTCCCCCCAGGTGATGGGGCTCCTCAAAGGACTGAGGGGGACTCCGGATGACAAAGGCTTCCCATGCAAAGAGCACATGCGCACACACTCCAAAAAAATGTGCCGTAGTCTCATGGAGCTACCAACATCATGTCTCCAAACATCACCCAAGGCTGTGCTGTGCCTTCTGAGCTGGGCAGGGCATCTTGAGAAAAAGCGCGGGCCCACGCAGCACAGGGGCCCAGGCCGGCCTCGCTTGCAACCTGAAGCGCGGAGCTGAAAGGGTAAAAGGACTTTCTGTATTGCGGCTGGAACCTACCCGGTGGCACGGCTACGTATGGCCTACGCCCAGCAGTCTTTGCTGAAGGTTTGCAAGATTGACCATCAGGGTTCCATTCAGGAAGCCTATGCGGATCCTTTGGCGCAGCCCTTGCTTGGACAGGATCTCATGAAACCCAAAGCCACACGGACGCGAACTGCATATATACACCTGCAAATGCAACCAAGCATCTTCTCTCAAAGCTTGCACTGAGCTTTTTGCGCCCATGGCGCCACAAGCGCAAAGGCTCAAATGGCCTTCATTCAGTCTAAGCCGCTTTGCTGTAGGGCGGGGTGATGTACAAAATAAAAGCATGAAAAGCGGCTCCGGGCTGCTGAAAGATAGCAAAGGGGAACTGGCTTGGGAGTCTGAAGTAGTTAAGCATTCGGCATGTGCACGACATGTTACCATGGCAGCATGCAGCATTGCTGACCTGCTTTTATGGGAGCTTCCGAACCCAGGCAGAGCATCCGAGCATGTTCATCATGTGTTGGGACTTCTGTATCTTCCTGAACGAGCTCACTCCAAACAAGCCCTTCAATCCATTCCAAGAGCATCGAGGAAGGCTTACAGTGGTTCTCAAGCAGGCATCTTTTGTTCCAGGCTGCCAGCTCACTTTGCAAACTGTCCGTGCCAATTCAGCCACAGAAGTTCGTGCTGCGCCGGACACCTAACAGGCCAAACCCACTGGTCGGTGCAGTCAGGATGAATCTACAGGATCGCCCATTAGTGTCTGAAAGCCAGTTCCGAGAGTTCTCGATTTGACGTCCTGCCCTTGTGCTATGGGAGGGAAAGGGGTGGTGGGGTGGGTGGCTGTGCCAAAAAAAGGCAATGATGTGGAGGGAAACGTCCCTCTTTTTTTGGGAGCCATGCTGGAGCCTAAGACATGTGAGGCAAATGGCAAAAAGAGCAACCTGATGTACCTAGGCCAGGTCTGCCAAAAGCCTTATTGCCAACCTTCTGCCATTAGGACTGTTCTACTGTAGCCAATCTGCAGCCAAGCATCGCCTCACTTTGAGGGAAGCTCCTGTGACACTGCCTGACAAGGCCAAGTTGCACAGAACCCTGATTGCCCATCAGTCACATGCCCATGCGCTCCCTACGCTGTCTGAGCAGACACCACCCCAGCAAACTCGCTGAGTATGCAGGGGCTCTTGGAATGCAGGCCCATCCTTCAGCAGTGCCGGGACATCCTGCGCGGACGCCAAAGCAACCTGACGCGGAGCATGCTTTGCTGTGATTCCTGGCGAAATGGCTCTTGATCTAGAATTGCAATCTTGCAAAATCCGCCCGCACTTCAAGAAAAGTCAAAATTTGTTCATGCAGCACCCAGGTTGCCTTTCCCAAGTCTACGAAGAAGTGGGCTTCCTGGCAGGGGATCAAAGCAAAGGATATTCTGCTGGGGCAGACCAGGTAGTTCCAGGTTTTCAGACTCCTTTACACCCTGGAACGCTCGCTTGGAGTACTACTTCGCGTGCTCTAAGCCGTCCATGGCACCAGAGCGCTTGTAATGTTGGTAACTCAAGGCAATCCATGCCAACTCCTGAATGCAGCGGCCCTTGTGTGCGCAGTCCAGATGTCTGTCTACAAACTGAAGCGCCAGAAGTCACTGTGAGCATAGCTTGGCGTTGTGCGACCACAAGTACTTGAGTTCAGCAGAAGCCTTTTGGAGGTCAGCTTCCAAGCGCTGGAGCTTGGCCTGGCCGACAAGAAATCTCAGACTAAAGTGTCAACACCGTCCGCTGGATTCCACGAATCCAAGGAGCACTGCCCTTCCACATCGAATCCCACAAGCCCCTACAGTAGCGCTCTAGGGGCTTCTGTTGATACAGTGCACATTTTTGCTTCGCAGATCGATCCGTACTCACCGTCCCGGTGCATGGCCTTCAAATGCTCCAAGGTCTGTTGCAGCTTGCCTTGGTAGGGGTCGCAGATCATGCGCAGCGCAAGTTTGGCTCTGACCACAAATATGGCTGGCTCTTGCATCCCGACTGCCTGTCATGGCGTTGGTGTGTTCCAGCTCTGTCCTAAGCATAGGGACTGCCCCCACATGGATGCTACGAAGTGATGCACCAGCCAATATTTGGTCAGTCACACGCAGATCTGCAACCCACTGGATACAGTTGCAGGCAAGAGTCTGCAGCATAGCTTGCTGCTTGAGAAGGGCTACGTGGCCTGGGGGCAAGTGAGCATCATTGACATTCTGAGTGCTACACAATTGGGAAGTTGTGGAACGATGCACGCAAAGCTTCCCAGGCAGAAGCACGACGCACAGGACAGCTGTAGTTCTCTGGGCTAAGCACGCTTCTTTCCCGCCTGCAGCTTGCATGATTCTCAGGATGTGTCTGCCCGAACATGCGGAGAAGTCTGGCCATCCTCGCTGTGGTATGAAGGAACGGCCTCAAAGCTGGTGTGGAACAGCTTGGCCAGCTGTGACGCGCTAAGCCTTGTATCGCAGTAGCTTTATGTAACTTTTGCATGCGTGTGCAAGCATATGCTTTTCAAAACGATCACTGCGTCCTCACCCCTGCTAGGATCTGCTACGCAGGAAAATTTGCCAGACCTTCAGCTTGACAACCAAGGCCATGAAATTCTACGATCCCCGAATTGAATCAGCTTGTGGCAGCATCGTCCAAGTCCGAGCAAATGAATATGCTTGTCTGAGGCGCGTCTCCGCTTTATGCAGCTGACGAAGATCGTTGGTAAGGTCGTCTTAGCAACAGGTCTTTGTTACATCTGTGATTGCCCTTCTTGCCTGCGTTCGCCGCCACTCTGAACAGCCCTAGCTAAATTTCTTAGCTCGGCACCGATTATCTTGTCCTCAGCATTGTTTGTCTTTCCGCCCTGCGCGGGTCGATCAGCGCTCCAGGATTTGCACCATCGCCGACTTCAATACCAGCCGCTGCGCACGTCCTGCCTCTAAGGCGCTTGTCATGTTGAGGAGCCTCACCGGAAACAGCACATCGCATGTGCAGAAAATGGCGCAGGAGGGAACACATGACATGGCCAATTTCAGGCTCTACTACTGCATTCCATTCTGGAGTAGTTGGCTTGCAGTGTGTTCGACACATGCCAAGGGCCATCCCATTGCTAGGGACGGTGACTTTAAGGCCGAGGGGCACGTTGTCGTCGTCATCACCCAGAAGGGGCAGCTGTACATCATCAGCACGATCTGAGATGGTGACATTTACAGATTTTTGAGGCCTTTGCAAGGACAAATAAATCAGCCAGCAAAACAGGAGCAACGATGAAAGGAGCAAGGAACGGCACCAGCAATCATACGGCAACAACTCAGAAGCATAGCGTAACCTCCGCCTGCACATGTCCAGTTGCTGGAAAACGCCAAATTCAAAAACACTGATTCAGAGTCAGTAGCTCGACCGCAACGCACTTTTCGTGACCTGTCCCGGTGAACTGCTGCACTGCTCTACGATGTAAGGATGTAAGGGCGGAGATTTTCCTTTCTACGGAGCAATTTGCCTTGGCCTTTCTCTTGATGTGGTGCTTCCGCGACCTGGGAGTCTGCAAGTCAGGGCATGTACTATCAGCCCGATATTGCGTCTGGATTTTTCCGTCACTTACTTTTGACAAGGTTCATCAAGATTCTAAACCTGCTACCCAGGCTGGAGTGAACGGAAACTTAAACTGCTGTGTAGAGCTGCCACCAAGCTGCACTTCGAGGAACGAAACTGGGCAGGGAGCGCTGCAACTTTATGCCAAACATGCAACAAGGGACAGATGCTGCAAAAAGTGTACAATAGGATGCGGTGTCTCAAATCATGTGAATTTTCACGGTTCGCATCACAAAGCCAACATGCCATCACACGGCCCTGCCAGGCAGAGCAACCGTGAGGCAATCCCGTGTGCCTTCATCTGACTCAGTGGAGGCCTCCAGGATGTGCGCTGGGGCCTTCGGGTTCAGGCTTCAAGCCATAGAAGTTTGTAGGAAATTGATCCCTTTCAGCGAGACCCAGGTTTCAGGGCCTCGCTGTTGAGCATGGGCTGCGGCAGCTCGGCATGCTCGGCAGGCTTAGTTGCCTGCATCGTCAAATGATCTTTGGCAATTTGGCTTGAGCCTTTGCGATTCCTGCCTGGGCTTTCACTAGAGTTTGCAGAGGCCGATGCTTGACATCAGGAGAATCAGAAGGCCTATGGCACACTATTCTCACACTATCAGATCATGCCAGCCCTGGACCATGCTCCTCCTTGCCTTCGCCACATGCAGGAAAGAAACATCCTGGGTGATCATCCGCTTGACGTGCTTGGCTCCATGCAACAAAGAACCCCTCCCCCCCATATCTGACTGAATCTACCCTGCGCCAGGTTGCCGGTGTCGGATCGTTCGTGGCCAGCGCGCTGTGCGCAAACTTCTCACTCTTCGCAAGCTGCTGCTCCTCCGGCGGCAGTCAGCTATCGCTCCATTTCCAAGTGTGCTCAATTCAGCAACGTTCCTCACGCTCAATGTCGAGACTTTGACGAAATCAATGGAATGCTTTTGACAATCTCACTCGTTTTCTCACACTGCCGGGATGACGGATTTTGTGGACACC